TAAACATGCCATAAACCCGTAAAGTCGACGTTTCGGCAAGATCGCCACGCGCGGCTAACACCCCCGTTTGGGACCGTCTCTCCCTCTCTGCCTACGCCCTACTCTGCGGACCACGGGGGAGTGCACGAGGGCCCAGGAGGGCGGTTCTACGGGGTGAAAGGCCCAAGATTTACCAATAAGGTTAACTCCCCATTTTGACGAAATCGTAGATATACAGCCAATTCACGACATTCCACACATTCTAAGGTATACGTAGAAACAATCGACACCACTTTGAGCGCTCTAACACGCGATACTCGATATTCTTGATACACCAGTGCGGTCCAGTCCGCAACAATCGACAATAAGTAGTTGGCATATACACGTGTAATAATTACCAACGCCAACCCGACCTTCCAACCAACAAGAAGCGCGGGAAGCTACGTTAACAGTTTTTTTCCGTCTTACCCTTTGCTGCGCTCTGTCTTTGCGCAGAACGGACGAGAATCGGTCCGAGAGCGAGGTTACTCTTATTTTGAACAACGTATAATAATATGTAAAGAGAATTCTGAAATTTATACGCATTATTCAAAATTTTCGAAAATATAGATATTTCGTCAAGCCATCATTCCTATCTATAATTGCTTGAATACGTCTCCGCGTACTTTCGATATTTTTTCTGCAGATTTCTGTTATTCCTGCGTCATAATACGTTTCGATCATTCCCATATGTTTTCTATCGTACTCATATCCGGTGAATTGTCAGATCACGATAGAATTTAAACTTTTTCTTAGCTACGTAAGCTGTGAACATATAATCAAATTGTCTATCTATGTGATAAGAACAAAACAAAAGTACATATTTTACTGTTATTTTTAATAATATATTAATATTAATATTAATTATTATATTAAATATGTAACTTTTTAATCTGATCATAATAATTTAATCACTCGCTGTAAGTCGTTTAATAAGATCCTTTAAAAAAAAAAACCTGTTCCACATTATTCCAGTCATTCTTATTAGGCGAATTCTGTACCCAGATTTATGCCATCGTCGGAATACTATTTCCATCAGAACATATTTACATACTATTTCCATAATTACATATTAATATCTTATATACAATAATAATTATACTTCTCTTGTTCACTACTTTCTTGTGCAATTTGAACTAAGCAACATAACTAAATAAATAAAAGTACGTTTGTCCGTGACGTCGATAGAACATCGATAAATAATCACGGCAATTCGCTCTTTCCGCCAGATTTCCAGGGGGAAAAGGGAAGCAGAAAGTAGGAAGAAAAAAATCTATTGTTAAGGGACACGACTTCCAATTGATTTTCTCGTCGAACAAGGGAGATCCTGTCACGGGAAGGGATCAAGGATTGCGCTTTTGGTTATCGCTCGAAGGAAAACGAACGATTTAATGGCTTCGTCTGGGTTCTTTCATCTGGCCTGGCCCCAGCTATGAGGTATTGTTTTTATCGACGTTCAGGAAAATATGTAAAACCAATATTCCAAACGACAGGGAGCCGATGCTTTTAACTCTCGATTAATTTTTACATTTATGTCAAGGCACCGGAGGCTGCGATCGATCAGGCTACGGTCGAAAGCTTTTATTTAGCGCGCCTTCGTACTCCGTATATACGATTTTTAGCCCGTGGAATTTCACCGACTGATCGGATAAAAACGAAAAATATATCCGGTTTCGTTAGTTTATGCCTACTCGTAGATGGCTGAGCTGGGGTACGGCAGCAAAATAACGAAATTAGTGTGGATTGAATCGAAGGAAAAAGTGGGAGGAAGTCGACAGTACCTGCGGAACTTAGAGTTGCGAAAATTCAATTGGAATAATTAGAAGAGAATGTAATTCTGCTGGAATTTTTGGTACACTGCTTCTCTCTGTGTTTTCATTTTGAAATAACGCAGTGACTACTTTTGTGTCGATTATATTGATTAGACTGCATTTCATAGCAAAATGCGGCAGTTTTTGCACACTTTGTTGGTTAATCTATCGATCAACGTTCCTTAGAAACTCTGAATATTAGATACTTAACACATTGCAGTTTTTTTATTTTTCATTTACAAAGTATTCTTAAATATTACTACATATTTCTTATACATCTATTTAGTATGTAGGCTTTTTTACATTTTAACTATTATTTATTATATAAATCAAATTAAATCGGTTAATTATTATTTATTTTGCAAACTTGAATAATGCCTCAGAGTATGATATCTGGTGAAGCATTCTCCTTTGTGCAATAGTATTTGGTTTCGCTCCTTTTTTCATTGAACGAACAGACTTTACTTCTTTTTTTTTTATTTCGCTAATCATTTGTCATAAGAGTATGCAAGGCTTCGTTGCCTTGGTAATGTAAGAAAAAAATTTTTAATTTCTTGAGTCGTCGATACGCGCGTATGAGAAAACATTAAAACGAGATATCTCGTAACCCGGCCACAAACTTCGGTTTGCTATATACGATATATCTCGTGACCCATACGCAATGTGTTAACATATGACATTTGACAGTCTAATAAAATGAATTATGGTAGAAAAAATGTATATTTCACACGTATTTTTTTAATAATTACACAACCCTATGTCGTAGTTGTAATAATAATATCTCGTCTCTTTGTAACTTTCTTCCTAAGAGTCTCTCTTGAGTTAGACAGTTCAATGTTTCACGCTTTGCCCGAATCTCACGCGGGATGAACTGCGAAAGGGTTAACGTGTCCTTCGTATCGTTTGATTTACGATAATTAAATATGAAGTATTTCGTGTCTTCTTTGTACCTAAAGTACTTCTTCGTTCTTGTACGAATGTAGAAAGTATTCATTGGAGGAACAGTATTACCGTGAAAATATATATTTTTCAATTAGTGTTCTCTTTTTAATATTAAATCAGAACAACAGTTTTATAAACACTGTTTTCTAATTTACCCAAAGCTGGTAAAAATGAAGCTGCACTTCTTTACCGACAAGGCCCTCCATTGTTATCGACCAGAAGAGGCCAAACGCTTAGAAACCAATTAATCTTCAGACGTTTCTCTTGATCGCAAAGTTAACCCCTTAACCTATGATTTCTTTTATAACTACGCATCTAAGCGTCAGCCATTTTACTGTTTCAGTACTTTATCAGGTAACGAAAGCTAGTCTGCTACAGATTAATTACATTTAGCAATCCTCAGCCTTACGAATTAACCCTTCCGCTTTCCTTTCTTAATTATTCTTAATTTCTTAATTATTCAGTATGGTATATTAAAATCACAATATTGTCAAAGACTCAAATTCGATACGTTTAGGACTCAATTTCAAGTTGGCTTACAGTGGGAACTGCTGCAAACGCCGTCGGGTCGGAGGGGTTAAAACGAAAATTAGGATTGCAATTAATTGTTCTTACCGATAGAACTATTTTTCTCACATCTTCTCCAGAATCTTCGCCACGAGTCCGACACGTTGTCATATGTTATATGTACGTTGTCACAATTTCTCGAAAACAGCAAAAATCCCGACCGTATCGTGAACACAGAACAATCTAAGCTCCAAACGGAACGAATATCGAAAAAAGAAAAATTGGTAGACAAGTAGCTCTACTCACCCTGCAGAAACTGGTGATGGAGGATATCTGAAACAGAGAAGAGAAAGGAACGATCAGTCGTGGAAATCCGAGATAGCACGCCGATGAATAATTGATCCGAAGCCTCCGCTGAATCCTCTGTAGAATCTATGCGAACACGTGAACCTACACACCCGAACGCGTGTATATTTCCAGCGGAATAAGAGGGGCGTGTGTCGATTGAAATTCAAGAGTCGTCCTCTCTCCCGCGGAAGCATCGACAACGAAGAAAGCTTTCGGGAAGCTGATCGCGGGACGAGGGCCGGAGGACTCCGAAAAAGTTTCGCCGCGATTATCATAAGAAGTTTCGCGACTTCGCTGCGCTGCTGCAATGGAACGACACTCGGGCACGCTCGGCGGAAAACGGACGGGAATTTTACGTATTCTTCAACGTTACCGGCGGAGACCCCGAACTTCTATGCGCGGTAACGACACGGAATTACATATCCAGGCGGAGTTGTGTCTTCGGGCGCCGCTCGCACGTTCTGCCTTTTTGCTAATGACCGCGCTTTTTTAAATTCTCCCGACGACTCTCTGTCTTGTAACTTTTGTCCACGAGACTTTCACGGTAGCTTTACGACGACGGTGGTTGGTAGAACGAGGGTGTAATTTTAGGTTGATTGGTTTCGGGTCACGAATTTATGCGCAGGATTTATTCCGGGTGCTTCTGGAATGCTGATTTGCATAAAGCGTATCGATCTACCCTTGCTCGTGTATTGTATTGGGAATTAAATTTGACACTATTTATGTATCTGAAAAATATTACTGGTCGATATAATGACTTTTGTCACAAAGAATATTGTAGAAATCGACGGAAAAAATTTTGATGGACCCAACCGGGAATCGAACCCGGGACCTTCGGCTTAGCAAGCCGAGGGTTTGCGCGCTACGCCAACCACTCCCTCTCTATTCTCCCTTGCCGGTTTCCTATTTGGGTATGGAGGCCCCGATACTACACTCGGCCATCCTGAACTGACATTCGCCCTCGAATGTCCTCAGTGCGACACAACTCAACACTTTCGGGCACACTCCCCCACACAGTGGCACACAGCCGAAACAAGGCATTTTTGGGAGACGTGCAACCCTCGAGATGTTTTCATCTCACAGCGCCTGGGGCTGCGTGCAGCCGTAGATGCCTCCATCTCGGACGAACCCCCATTTGTAGGAACTGACGACGGAAAAATATTGAGGGACCCAACTGGGAATCGAACAAAGTCGAGGCTTTGCGCGCTACGCCAACTAACAATTTAACAATGTAGTTTTTATTTGGATCTTAAGTGCTTATGCATATTACATAGTTAATTTTAGATATAATATTGTTCTTAAGTTTTAGGTTGCGTTGCCTGTCCGAAGACATTTATAATATGGCTAATTATGCCGAGTGTATAACCGACGCGAGTAGCCAGAGTGATTAATAACAGTTCCATTATTGAAAGAGAAGAATCCTTTTTTTTGTACTTAATACAGTACGCATACGCGATAAACCGATAAATTCGTTTCTTCAGATACCCGAGAAAAGAATTTCGCATGGTAGTAGAGACGTAAGAATGGCACAATTTACGATGTATTGATCTTAATAAATTGGTACTCGTTGGCCCAATTTTCCGACGGTGACGTTTCTCCGTGAAACAAATTGTCCTCGTTCCAGCTTCAACTTACTCTCGCAATCGTGACAAATAAGAAGTGTTAAGCTGAGACAAGGCTTTCGTTGAATTTCAAATTAACGAAGAAAATTTGTTAGGTCAAGGTTGAATATTTTTCAAATTCCAAGAAACTTTCTTAAGTAGATATTAATTCACTTTATTATACTTATATAAAAATATAGAATAAGAAAAGTTGGTAAATACATTTCAGTACTTCTTTCTTTATTTCTTGCAAAAGTATTGCAGGAATTGCATTACACTATCCCTGGTTTGAATGGCTAAAGGAAATGGGACATTTCTTTATGCTTTCTTCACTTTTTCTAGCTGTCTCTTGTTCTTTACTTTTCCTTTAGAAATACGCTAATTCTGTTCGAAAATAAATACGTTTTCCTCCTTTCCTAGTATAATTATCGTTGTTATGTTAATTAAAAGGTGAAAAAAAATACTGCTATTAAACAGAAAATGGCGAAAGCTTAAAGTACCATTAAATTTTCGCAGCTTCCACAGATTGTAAAACTAACAATACCACGTTCAGCTGTAATATTTAATCTTCCCAAAAATAGCAGACACTTTTTCGTTCGTATCGTAAACTTACCTTAACACGTTAATCGCCACGTCAGTCACGGGTGACTGACACTATACTTTCCGTTCGGACCGTGTCAGTCACCGGTGACTGACAGTATACTTTTCGCGCAGGGCGTGTCAGTCACTGTTGACTGACGATATACAATTTAAAAAATTATATTCTTCTATTAATAAATTTTAAATAATTTGGAGATCATAAAATAATGTACTTAAATATTACTTGTTACCAAAAAAAAATTTTAACGAGTATTATTAAAACACATGCAGTCTTATCGCAACCTTACACAGATCTCCGGCCGCCAGCATATCGGTGAAATCGGAAATCGCGGGCTAAACGGAAAGAAAGACAAAACAGGCTTGGCGCTTAACGTGTTAAGTGTCTTTAATACCAACTTTCTGCATTCCCTCGAAAAAATTCGTATCTACTGTAGAAGATAACCTATACTATCTAAATATCTCCAGCCTTCTCGCAAATTTCACATTTGATCAGCGTAATGGTTGAGAAAAGAACGATCGGCCACTCGAAATAATCGTAAGTTTGGGTAACTTTCAACGAGCAGATTACACGCTTATCGTTATGGCGAAAAGCTTTCAGAATGAAAATTTAAGTGTCGAACAAGTTCGTAACGCCATGCTAATACCACAGTGGGGAAACTTGTCAAGCCCATTGTTCACTTCTGATCAGTTGTCCGTTCCGCTGACCCCCTATTATATTCGCTGATGAACTCACGCCGGCGATAAAGTTCGGTCAAGTTTATTATGCTTCGGGGAGAGGACTTTCATTAAAATGCAGAGATCCAATGGGATTGGAAGAATTCTTTTTGCCACGAACTAATTTCTCGTTTAAACAATCACTGAGAAAACGTTGTTTGTTGCTTATGTTGAAGATAACCATCGAAACATTTTGAGGGAATTTTTTGAGAAATTAACAGGATTGAGAAATTCCAATTTTTAACTTTTTTAGTACGATTGA